ATTTACATACATACATACACACACACACACACACTATATTGCCAAAAGTATTGGGATGCCTGCCTTTACACGCACATGAACTTTAATGGCATCCCAGTCTTAGTCCGTAGGGTTCAATATTGAGTTGTTCCACCCTTTGCCGCTAGAACAGCTTCATCTCTTCTGGCTGTCCGCAAGGTTTAGGAGTGTGTCTATGGGAATGTTTGACCATTCTTCCAGAAGCGCATTTCTGAGGCCAGGTACTGATGTTGGGATGAGAAGGCTTGCCTTGCAGTCTCCACTCTAATTCATCCCAAAGGTGTTCTATTGGGTTGAGGTCAGGACTCTGTGCAAGCCAGTCAAGTTCCTCCACCCCAAACTCGCTCATCCAGGTCTTTATGGACCTTGCTATGGAACAGGAAACCACAAACTGTTCCCACAAAGTTGGGAGCATGAAATTGTCCAAAATGTCTTGGTATGCTGATGCCTTAAGAGTTCCCTTCACTGGAACTAAGTGGCCAAGCACACCCCTGAAAAACAACCCCGCACCATAATCCTACCTCCACCAATCTTTACACATGGCACAATGCAGTCAGGCAAGTACCGTTCTCCTGGCAACCGCCAAACCCAGACACGTCCATCGGATTGCCAGACAAAGCGTGATCAGGCACCCCGGAGAACACGTCTCCACTTCTCTAGAGCCCAGTGGCGGCGTGCTTTACACCACTGCATCTGATGTTTTGCATTACACCTGGTGAGTTAAAGGCTTGGATGCAGCTGCTCGGCCATGGAAACGCATTCTATGAGCTCTCTACGCACTGTTGTGCCCATCTGATGACCACACTAAGTTTGTAGGTCTGTAGCTATTGACTCTGCAGACAGTTGGCGACTTCTGCACACTGTGTGCTTCAGCATGCGCTGACGGAGCTGTAAATTTTACGTGGCCCACCACTTTGTGGCCGAGTTGCTGTTGTTCCCAGTTGCTTCCACTTTGTTATAAATCCACTAACAGTTGACCGTGGAATATTTAGTAGCAAGGAATTTCACGCAACGCCTGAATCCAATTATTTGAAGGGGTGTCCCAAGACTTTTGGTAATATAGTGCATCTCAGAAGACACCTTCTGACATCAAGTAAATGTAAAACACTTCTTCCATAGGACCCTGAGGATTCTAACAAAATGAGGGTAAAATTATCTCTTAGGACCTGTGGAAAGAGGAAGACACTTTAGGTAGGTATAACGGATCTGGTGAAAGGATCGCACTATTAGGAAGGATAACCAAATAGGGATCCTTAATGGACAATGCCTGTATATCCCCAACCCTTCTATCACCTAGAAGGGTTGGGGATATACAGGCATTGTCCATTAAGGATCCCTATTTGGTTATCCTTCCTAATAGTGCGAGTAATAGCTAATAAAAAATCCATCTTAAGCGTTAACCATATATGGTTAACACTTAACAGGGCTTTTTTGTTATCAGTAATGGGTTCAAAGGGAGCTTTTGAGAGACCTGCTAGCACAAAGGAAAGATCTCAAAGGAGCAAAACTTTACTTTGACTAGGACAAGAGCGCTCAATGCCCCCATAAATTGTTTCACCAATGGTTTCTCTAGCAGTCACTGCAGTCAATTCCGACTGCAGTCACGGTGCCACCAGCCTGAATGGAGTGCTGTCACTGGTAGGCCGAGACCCCCAGTTATATGCACCTCCACCGGGACGAACCCACAGGCCACTCCGTCGAAACAGTCGTCACAGCCCACCCACCGTGGCAGAGTCTGCATGTGCTTGCCGATTGTACAAGGAAGACTACAAGGATCTTCAACATCCAGCGTGTCGCCCCGACGACACTTGGTAGACGATCCAGCGGAAAAAGGAAGAAATCAGTTAAGAATTCCAGAGAGAAAAAATTCTTAGCGCCTTACTCCTGACGCTAGGCAAAAAACTGGAGACTTGTCAGCAGGTGTGGGGGTTTTGGCCACCAGCAAGGGCCGACCCTAGGCTGTCTTTGTCTTTTGTTTTGTGCCTAGCGTCCTTCTGCAGGTGGCGATATTACCGTACGACAATCTCAAGGTTACAAGTCCATCTCCAGAGATCTAAATTTTCCTGTTTCCACTGTGCGCAACATTGTCAAGCAGTTTAGAGCCCATGGCAATGTAGCTAATCTCCCTGGACGTGGACGAAAGAGAACAATTGATCAAAGATTGCAATGAAGTGTTGTTCGAATGATGGATAAAGACCCTAAATCAACTTCCAGACAAATTCAAGCTGACCTTCAGGCACAGGGTACAACTGTGTCAGCTCACACTATACGTCGCCATCTGAATGAAAAGGGACGCTATGGTGGGACCCAGGAGGACCCCACTGCTGACACAGAAACATAAAAAAGCCAGATTAGAATTTTGGCTTCCTCAGGTAAGTTTTGGCAAACTCCAATCCTTTTGGGAGAATGTGCTTTGGACAAAAATTACAGCTTTTTGGTAAAGCCCATCATTCTACTGTTTTGAGAAAAAGAAATTAGGCCCTTACAAGAGAAAAACAAACACGGTGGAGGTTCACTGATGATTTGGGGTTGCTTTGCTGCTTAAGGCACTGGATGTCTTGATTGTGTGCATGGCATTATGAAATCTAAAGACTACCAAAGAATTCTGGGGTGCAATGTAGGGCCCAGTGTCAGAAAGTTGGGTCTCTGTCAGAGGTCATGGGTCTTATAGCAGGACAAATGACCCAAATCACACGACAACTAGCACCCAGAAATGATTTCAGACAAAGTGCTGGAGAGTACTGGACTGGCCAGCAAGAGTCCAGATCTAAATCCCATAGAGCACCCGTCTCAAAACAGCAGTTGGGAAAAGGAACCCTTCCAATCTGAGACACCTGGAGCAGTTGGCAAAAGAAGAGTGGTCCAAAATTCCTGTAGATAGATGGTTACAGGAAACGATTGATTTCAGTTATTTTTTCCAAGGGCTGGGCTACCAAATATAGAGGGTGCCAATAACTTCGTACAGTCCATTTTTGTGTGGAATATGTCAGTTTTGGCTTTTTTTTCCTCCCCTTTGTGTCATACCAATAAAAACAAAAGAAATAAAACATGAGAATGCCTAAACATGTGTAATTGCAACCGTTTTCTGCACAAAGTGGTACATTATCTGACAGCAATGCAGGGGTGCCAAAATATATATAATATATATACACACACACACACACTTTTCTTTCATAGAGTAAGGAAAGGAAGGAATGATAGAGCACCTTTCAGATTTTTACCTCTGTCTGAATTGCAGATTTTCCCCTTTTTTTGGTTTCACATATACGAACCTTATCTGAACCGAGCATGTAGTCATGTAGTTACATACCGTAGTTAAACAGTATTAAAATATTGTGGAAAACTAAGCGTAAAATTGTGACCAAAATGGAACTTGAAAATACACATTTGAGATGCACCGGTTTAGTCTTTTACTTGCAAAAGGATGTATAATTCTTCACAGCGATCTTATGCTTTACACACATCTTTCACCCCGTGTAGCAAGGCAAGTGACAATTGAACTGCAGGATTTAATACAATTAACCCTTGCAGTGGGACTACCCCCACACTGCAAGGGAGAAGTGCTTGTTTTGGTCTAGGTAAGAAAATAAACTCTCCTTAACTGATGCTCGGTCCCACCTAGCTGTTAGACAGGTCCCCACAGCCTCTTCTCTCCTGGTCTAGTCTAAGGACCTATAAACGTATTCACGTCTAATGCAGGTCCATTGGATGCAAGGACGCCGAGGGACATACCACAGCTGGAGCAGAAGGGGAGAGAGGCGAGCGGTCATCGCAGAAGGACCAAAGATGGTGTGTATATTTCTTTATTTTTGCTCACAGACCAAAATGAGCAGCGAATCCTTGCAGTATGGGGGAAGAATAACTGCAAGGGTTAATTTTTTTTTTTTGGGTGGGGGGGGGGCTGTTCTTTTTTTATTTTATGGCTTAGTTGTGTAGCTTCCTCGATCACCTGTCCACCTCAATGCAGCTAACCGAATAATTAAATCAGCATAATCACCTCTTCCCAATGAGAAGGGAGGTGATCCATGACGCTGTAAAGCTGGGCCAGGCATAATGCAGTGATTGTAGCTGTGCAGAAATGGATGAGAAAATGTCTCAACTGGCACGTTTCCAGTTACTGTACATGTGCCAAGCATACAGTATATGAATACCAATGTTAACTATCTGAAACCATCTATTTTTCTTTTAAATTAGAAAGCATATATTTAACTTCTTCACAAGCAAACAAGAGCAAGTCATCAGGAGTGCAGAACAGAAAATCGGCAAAAAAAATAAATAAATGTAAACTCATACATTTGGAGACTTAATTTCTTCTTCCTTTTCACTACACGCATCGTCACTTGATGTTTCAGCAACGGGAAGGACAGTGAGGCTATTCTCTTCATGGGCTTTTTCATGCGACACATCACTGTCAGATGAATTTATGGCCTAAACAGTTGGACAGAGAAAAGAGGAGCAAAAAAAAAAATGTAATGTCAACATGCATTTCGGGAAAAAATATACATGAAAACACAATAAAAGAGAGCAATTTAAACCAATTCTTACTGGAGGAGTAAACCTGTAACTGGCCTGCGGATCGGTCTGAATTTCCCAAAGTCCTTCATTGAACCCTTTCCTTTTGTTTGGCTTGCCATATTTATCCTTGTACTTTTCATATAGAAACAGATCCTTTGCACCAAGAAAAGCTCTGAAAATACACACCAAATATATGTTTTATAAAGATAAACAGAACCTATCAAAAAGTTAATCGTTAGTTTTAAAGAGCTGACAAGCAACGGCAGTTCCAGACCAGGCTAGAAAGCAAAGATTTGTCCAACCTTCTTTAAAAGACAGACAAGCAAGGTTTTACCAGCAAAACTACAGATAAAACATTATAGAGTTTTCTCAATATGGTCAATGTAAGATTATGTTCAGGGTCTAAAATCACCAGAAAGTGCATGTCAAGGCAAAAAAAACCACCACATTTCATACAACTCTGCAATACATGCATATTTTCCCAAGTAAGCACCCTGCAAGTACAAAAAAAGAAAACAGTGATTGCTATGCCAGAAACATAGGGGTTAAATGGTTTGTCCAGCATATAGGTGGGTTAATGTTTGCAGGGCACTGCTAGATGGAGTGGAGGAGTATAGAAGTAATGGCCTGCAAATGATTATAAATCAGCCCCACCCTAATAAATATTTAATGCATGACACAGACACACACTACTTCTGCAACACCAGAGAGACCACCAATTTTCTTGCGAAACGAAAAACCGCACGGTTTAAAAGGACACCTTAAGTAATCTCTAACTAATAAATATCAACCCAACCACAATTCAGTATAACTAAACCAAATCAGTGAAAGCACTGTTCAGGTAGAAAAGCCAAACCATGAGATATTGAAACCTTTTTTCGGACAGACGTTGTTCAAATCTATCAAATCAAAAATCAAAAGAAAAAAAAAGGTAATGAGCAAATAAAATAAATAAGGTAATGGATTTTAACTTCTGCTATGCGAATGGAAACATGCAACAAATATAAAGTGGGAGTTAACCCAATTTGGCTGAAAAGTGGAAATACACTTTAAAAGGAGAACTATGAGATGAGTGATTTCCACTCACCTCATAGTTCTAGCCGACCTGTGACAATGAGACTGTCACAGGTCAGCTTAGTAGATTGGGAGGTGAGCGAACACATACCGGGTTCGCTCACCTCTCGATCCTGTCACGGCTCTCTGCCGTGACAGGGGGAGGGGCTGGATTCCCCCCTCCGATCTGCCAGCGCTGACTGGCGGAATGGACGGGGGAGGGGGCAGGTACAGCTGGCTCTGCCTCTAGATACTGAGCTTAGATTAACGGGAGGACGCTAGTTTGTGTCCTCCCGTTACCCTAAGGAGAACTATGGGGAAAAACCCTGACCCCATAGTTCTCCTTTAACCACATACCATCCAGAGCAATTTCTTAAATGAGAATCATGGGGTGCGTGAAAAACAAACACTCATCCCCATAATTAAAGCCGACCTGCGACACTGAAGCAGTCACAGGTCGGCTCTGATGATCAGGAAGTCATCGAACACATGCCGCAGACTTCCCAATCCTCTTCCTGCAGAGAGTGGTGACCACCTCCCCTCTCTGTTTCCCTAGTGCTGATTGGAGGAAAGTACAGGGGAGGGGGCGGGCACAGCTGGATTTCTAGAAAGGCAGAGCCAGCTGTCAATCAGCCAGCGGGGTGGATCTTAACAATATTGTTGGGATCCATACTAGCTGCAGTGCGGCTCAGCGCTCTCAGTGTATATATATATTTTTTTTTATATATATATATATATATACACATATATACACACACATATATAGTTTTGAGTCACCAGGGGACATTAGTATATGTCCTCTTGTGACCCTGAAGAGAACTAAGGCCAAAATGGGTTAGGCCATAGTTCTTTCTTTGTGCACACACATGATAAAACCTAAATTTTTGGCAAGAAAGCAGCTTAAAACCCCCAAACAATTAGAGAGGCCCTGTAGAACAAGAAAACGCTAGTAGCATATTTGCACACATGTTTATCAAAGCAATATTTTTAGGATAAAATACACCAATAAAAGAGAGGCTTGTGTCATGTAAATGGATATCAAATATGTCAAGCCTCAAAATTGCATGCGCCTATGAAATGGTTAAAAACAAATACAAATACCCAAAATTTCCCATAGGCGATGTTTTAAAAGCTTTGTTTGCGTTTCTATGTGCGTGTACATGGGAGTGGGGGGGAGAATTTTTTAAACACGTAAAGAAAAATTCCAGACAAAAAAACTTCTATTCATCCTTACAGTGGAGCTACCCCTGCACTGCAAGGGTAAACTGCACATTTTTGTCTATGTGCTCCAAAAAAAAAAAAGTTATACTCACCCGAAACCCGGCTTGTTCTTAGACTGGTCCTTCCAGCCTCTCTCCATCCTCTGCAGCAATCTAAGGTCCAGTAAATAATCACGTTCCAAGACAAGACAAGAGGACGCTAAGGAACATTCAAATGCTGCAGCACAGGAGAAGACAGGCTTCAGAGACCGGAGAAGCAGGGAGCTGGCTCAGCGTTAAAGGAAAAACTATGGGGTTAAGTCTTTTCTTAACACTCACCTCATAGTTCTCCTTTAAAGGCAAGTATAACTAAAACATTAAAAGAAACAAAAAAAAAAAGCACAATTGTCTGCAGAAAAAGAGTTGCATTAAAGAGAAACTTTGGGCAAAACTTTTATTAACCCTTGACGTGGGGCTTACCCCACACCGCAAGCATTATCGGCTCATTTTTTGTCTAGGTGCTAAATTCAACAAAAAAACAAAAAGGAGAGGAGAGAGATTATACTAACCTGAACCACAGAGCCGGCTTGTTCTTAGACAACTCCTTCCAGCCTCTTCCCCTCTGCAGCGGTCTAAGGTACCGTAAATCATCACGTTTTATACACTGTGTTTAGACGCGAGGACAATGAGGAACATTCCAATGCTGCAGGGAAGGAGGAGAACGCAAACCGCCTAGAAGTTGTAAGTAATGTAATGGAGTCTTGATGCGTTTCAAAGTCCTATAAAAAGGTAGACATTTTCTCTCCAACTGTAAGCTTGAAATCTCTTCCTACAATTATGGTGCCATTCATAAAAGATTTGAGTTTGGCAGAAATGCCGCCCATAGGAGACTTTGGAGAGAGGGTAGGAAGAGGGGGTTATGCCGATACCATTGCAAGATAGTCAAATTGTGGGAACAAAACACCCATAACAGCATTACACATTGACTCATATGAATCAGGACATCATAGTACATAGGGTATGAAAGTGAAGACCTCAGTGGCTGTGGAAGACAGTTTCAGCCATGCTACCCATACATTGGGGGGTTATTCACCAACGAGCCGTAAGATTAATCAGAACCTTTGGCTAATCCTTTTGCTCAGCAAAACTGAAGGTCTGCTGTAAGCGCTATTCACAATAGCCCGTACAGCAGCCAAAGAGCTCTGGTGAGCCGAATGTATAGGGTTCGGCTCGGTTGAGCCCAACACACAGCCGAAGCGGGGAGAATAGTCTGCCAAAGTAAATTGTTCTGCCCACAAAATGTAAACAAATGTAAAAAACACATGGGCAGAGCTAACTGACATCACTGCCATCTCCGCACATTTGTTGCCATTTGGCCGGCACCGGTCAAATAGTTCATTTTGACAGGTGCGGGAGTTCAGGTTGGGCCGGTGGACACGCTGTTTTTTTGTTTTCTTTTGTTTACATTTTTTTTATTCTGCTAGCTACCTCAGCATCATTGGGTTATTCACTCACTGCTGTTTGGCCCTTATGAGAATAGGGGCAAACAGCAGTGAATGAAATGCCGATCGCTCGCTTCGCTTCACTTCGGTTCAGACAAACCAAAGTGAAGTGAAGAAAGACGGAGTCAGCCGATGTACAGATGTTTTTAGTCACACAGGGCTGAAGTGAATAGCCAAATGGGGTTCGGCTCGTTTCACTTCAGGCCGGTTATTCAGTCGGTTGATTTAGGCAGCTTAGTGAATAACCCTATAAGGAATTTAGTAGAGGTGCACCAAAATGAAAATTTCAAAGCCGAAACAAAACCAAAAGTCAGGCCGAAAGCGAAAAAAATCTAATAAAATTCTAACCTTTTCTAAATGTTTTTATAAATATTTTATTTTTAATTCATTTTTATTGAAATTTTTTATTTTATTACTTTACTGTCTGGGGAAAAATAGGGGGTCCCCAATCTTTTTCTGCAGCCCCTTTTGTTATAAATGAACAGGAAACCTCTATAGTGAATATTTCTGTTCATTCATAAACTTGTGGAGATAGTATGTTTACCATGTGCACAATCATGAATGAACAGGAAGTGATGTAGATCACTTCCCATTCATTCATAATTGGGGACACAGTAAACATACTACTCAAATATTTACAAACACTCAGCGATCACTGAATGCTGAGTGTTTGTACCTACTCTCCATCCTGACCGGCTGTCACAGGAGGCTGAGCGAGCGGTGCGGAGAGCTTGATCTCCTGACAACTGACTCCGCCCCAGCACCGCAGGCCTGGCCTCCTGTGACAGCTAACTCCTCCCCCACACCGCCGCTCTCCTGGTCTGTCACAGGAGGCTGAGCAGGGTGGTGCGGGAGGAGAGCTCAGGCTCCTGAGACAGATCAGCAGAGCGGCGGTGTGGGGGCAGAGACAGCTGTCAAGCACCGCCGCTTTCCTAGTTTGTCACAGGAGGCAGGACGCCGGCCGCTCACAGCGCTGTCCTCCCCCGCACCGCCTCCTGTGACGGTTTCTCTCCTCCCCGCTGGGACACAGCAGTGCCCAGCGAGGAGGAGAGAAACCAGGGATGCACCACTATTTTGGCAGAAAGATGGCACTTTCGGCATTTTGCCAAAAGTGCCATTTTCGGCCGATATGTTTTGGCAGCCCAAATTTCGGTACATCCCTAGAATTTAGCTGCACACACCTTATTTTGATATGTATCCTAATAGTAAGTTAAAGTAGACTAATTGACTCCAGAACAGGAGAGATGAGGCATTTCATTTCTTCCAGCTCATCACAATAGCCTTCCGAGCATTGAAAAGGAGGCCAAGTAAGGTCCTTTCTGCCATCGTAGGTGCCAGGTCTTCCATCAGAGCCAACAAACACCATGGGAGATCTGGCCTGTATAGATGTGACAGAGGAAACAAAGTCCACCATAGCA